CACCGGCAGGCACTCGTGAGCGCACCTTGGGTTAGATTGCCTACACATCTCAAGCCGGGCGGCTGGGCACTTGCATCGAGAAACTAAGCACTGACACCAGCAGATTGTCAGCCGAATTGAGTATAGACTTCAGAGTTCAACACTTCGGCCGGTCTGCGAACAAAGGCATCTTGAGCCACCCCTCGCATTTTTCTGGCATCCGCCACTGTTTTCCTCCTCCTGGACACTGGCAGCACTGAAATGGTTGTCGCCCGGAGCTTGGAGCCAGTCTGGGCAAGCTGCCCGTCATGCTTTTGTCGAAATCTTGAGGCAGACTCTCTTGTGTCTCCAGGTGACGGTGCAGTTCTGCGCGGAGGGCCAGCGATGGCAGCGCGACTTCGAGATAGAGGCAGACGTGACGATTCGTGCGCTGAAGGAGCCCGTGAAGCAGACCAGAGGAGTCAAAGTTACCAGAGGCTTACCGCGAGTTGTTACGTAATGTTCTAGTATATCATTCAGCATTCCATTTTCTGTAGGAACTTGGGCGTTTTTAACATCATCAATTGGACCGTGCATAGGAGTCCATGCTGAATCCTGACGGTGGCGAGGAGGACACCCGTCGCAGTGAAAATTCATGGTTTCTGCGCTGCTCTTCCAGTACAGTTGAGAGAGGGAAGACCTGATAGTGCGGCTTTCGAAATGTGAGACTCTCTGTTTTGAGTCAGCCCGGCACGCCGGCACGAGCTTACATTGTGGGCAGGACATTGACGCCTTTGAGCTGCGGCCACGGGCTGAGAGAAGACCCCACATTTGCAGAGCACGGTTTCCTCGGGGTTGCGGCACCTCGTAGCGAAGTGTAGCGACTTGGAGACTGCCTGCTTTCAAGGATGCGTGGACGCCGGGTACCGGACTTCGAGAAGGTCTCGCAGGACATTCCCAGAGTGCAGGCTTCTGTTGGGCGGCAGTTGTACTTGCCGTGGTCGCTCTTGGGAAGTTGCCTCCGATTCTTTTGCTTGACAGGATTGCACTCTGGACTTTGAGTACCTTGGGGCATTGGAGGGTGCACGAAAGGCTGGACGTCGGCAGTGTAGTGACAGGGTGAGGCTCCTCCCAAGCTAGGGATTTCTACCCAGAACGGTGCAAGCACGCGGCAGGCGCGGCTGGATCGTCAGGATGAAGCGAGATGGGACGTGCTCCAGCTGCCGCAGCAGGCGACCAGTCAAATTTGCTATGACTTCAACAAAGAGTTTGGTTTGCCGGATGTGCGAAGCGAGGCAAATGAGTATGCCTCGATTCCTTTCCCAAGCCAGGAGCCACCCGAGCGCATCCGCCCCCGCTCAGTGCCAGCGAAGAAGAGCGACAGCTCCACTGCGTGAGCCTGAGAGCTCGGGTCTGTGTGAACCCCACGGTCGCAGCATTCCAGCTTGCAGCTTGCCTTCTTACCCGTTTGCGTTCCTGCCGGTGCATCGGCCGTCAGGCGCGCAGCGAAGCAGACGAGGCCACTCACAATTACGACCACACGATATAGCGTGCGGATGTTTGCGGTCAAAAGCCCCCTTGAGCCGAGTTCTTCCGACCCACGCCGGCACCGCGCCCGGCGGGAGCTGCACGCAAGGAGCGGAGTTGCACAGAGTCAGAGCCCTCGCTCCGGTCGCTCGCCCCCAGGGGCCGGCACCTCCAGCGAAGCGCTGGGAAGTGGTGGGTGGCTCCGACAAGGGAGGCGCAGACGACCTCTGTTCCTGTTTTTGGGGCGTGTTACAAAGACGTGGTAGCTCTACATCAGGCATCTTGGTGCGGGAAGGCCAGTCAACCACCTCCAAGCAGCTCGCAGACCGCTTGTCCACAGGCGGTCACCAGTTGTGCAGTATGGGATGACCCAGCGCATGAGGGCATCTACCTGTCTGCCTTGTTGCAGATGTAGTGTTGAGCCTACTGTGCTATGCGGCAAATAGCGGCAGCTGTGCAGCTGATTCATGCCAGGTGCTCTAGTCGAGGAGCTCGACCTGCGAGGAGAGCGGCTCCAATTCAAGAGGTGGCATCACCGCTGGTGCTTGTAAACGTTGGGGTGATGTGGCCGTGCTGGTTTCTTGCGGGGTGGCTGCTGTTCAGCGGGGTCGCTGTCACATGTGAACGCATGTCTGCGAGTGATTCCAAGCAGTCCGTAGGTGGTTCTAGAATGCTGTCAAGCTCTTTGATTGTTCGTTGGATCAGCTTGTTTTGCCAGGCTAACCGGCACCGGCCCCGAGATAGGCGCGGTCAGGCAGAGGGTTGCCAAGCTCATAAAAGTCGTTTCTCGCCAGGCTGGGTCAGCCGGGAGCTGAGCAGCTTCATCCCCTGTTGCCACTGCAAAGCATGGTGCTGTGGGGCAGAAGCTTGCTCAGAGGAAAGGGAGCAGAGCACATACCAGCACCTACCGCAAATCTTGACATCGACATGAATGTCTTTATTTCCAGAGTGGTTTCCAGTGCGAGTCTTTTGAACGGCCTGGCAACTGGATGTGTCATGATCCAAGACTACGAACTGCGATCTGCTTTTTTGAGGGAAGAACTCCAGTCCCTCGCAACCCACAGCGAGTCACACTTCTGAATTTCCGGGTCGAAGTCATGCCCTCCCTCGCAAAATCACGCAAGGTGTGCAGTTGGGGAATGCCGGTGCTTTCTGCGGTGCAGCGACCGGCCGGACTTTGGATGTGTGCCTGGTGACCTGAGGCCTCAGTGTCTCCGGCAAGGACGGGAGCTTGAATCAGCAAGTCCAGCCACCATGTTAGCAAAGATGCTGCAAAGCTCCAGGAGTTGGTACGCCCGAAGCACGCGTCACCGGAGGAGATGCTGACGACCCGGCCTGAGAATGTAGGGCTCAGGAGCCGTATCCTGGGACCCAGTGAGTAGGCGCTGTTCCACATGCTCTGCTCAGGCTGGATTGTGCGCTCTCGCTTCAAGAGGAGCTCATGGAGGGTTTCGGCAAGCTGGAAGCTCGTGTCGACGCAAAGGGTTGATTCAACGAATTATGTTGAACAGACGCCGTGTGTTCTCACAGCTCTGGTGCGTGTAAAGGCAGAGTGCCTGGAGCCTGGAGCCCTCAGTGCTCCTACATATTTGCTTCCTAGGCCAGAATTCCAGCGGACACTGGCGCAGCTCGTTCGTGCGTCGCTTGATCGCAATCAATTGGGAAATGTTGTAAAGCAGATGGTTGTATCATGCAGCAGAGTGGCCCCTACCGGCAGGATGTTCTTTTTTTGAAGCTTGGAGAAACTGCTCACTCACACTCGCAGGCATCCGACAAAGGCCGGCGCTGAATTCTTGAGGAAGCGTGCGGCACCGAGCACTGAGGGCCTGTGCAGGCTGAGAAGCTGCGGCTGTCTATGCCTCTACAACCCGACCGAAGGAAGCTAGACCATGCTAGACTCTGCTAGACCCTATGCCCTCAACTTCCCAAAATCCCTAATCCTAGACCCTAAACTTCCCTAATCCCTTAAACCCTTTGAGTATGTTTCGGGGGCCATGGAGCTGTCAAGGCACAGAGCTCTTCCTCTCCGTGCAGAGCGTTGTTCTCCCGAGGCGGATGTCGAGACTTGTTTTCGGGCCGTCCCAAAGGGTTTAGGGCTTAGTTAGGGCTTAGGGCCTAGGGTTCGTGAGCTAGGGGTTCGGGGGTTTATGGTTTAGGGCCTATTCGGGTTTTAAGCTTCGGGGGCCGAGGTCCCGAGCTCCTCAAGGGCAATCCTCAGCAACGTGCTCCCAGCCGCAGCTCCCTGCAAAAGGTACGGCTTCGAGGGCTCGCCGAAGGCGCGCGCACCGCAAAGGAGGAATCTACAGCAGGTTCTTTCTTGTAGACTCTGCGAATTGCAGTGGATGCTTCTGCGAGTCAGATCAGCTTTGGGGCATGAAGCAGATGAAGCCCCATCGCTGCCTTTACAGGGCGTGGTTCAGATGATGGCGGCCTATGCACCTCACGGCCTTGCACTCACTGCGATCTAAGGAGGAGGTTCATTCACACTCTGCTTTCGCCAAGATGTTTCCCAACGCGTCGGGGTTTGGACTGCCTGAGTCTGAGGCCACTGTCCAGAAGTGGGCTGGAACAACGATCAGCTGAATAAGCTGCTTCAAATGTAAAAAGACAAGCACAGGGGAAATCTGTTCCAGATTAGCTGATCCGCTTTGGAGTTTCGACCCTTCTAGATGCACGAACTCGCATATGGCTGCAAAGCAAATATCTCAAGATAACCCAGCCACAGTCTTTATCCGTCCGTGTCGCTCATTGTGCTGTTTCGGACAGCACGGCGTTGCATAAACGCTGTTTGGCTTCATGTTTGGATCGAAACTCGCCCGTTGGCCGTTTGAGGAGCTTGCTCTCTTTGTCACTTCAATGGGTCATGCAGTCGTCCACAAGGAAGCAGTAGGACAGTTTTTCTTCTTGTGCCCTTCCGGCACTGATCCGTCCTCAACCTTTCTCAGAGCCATGGCTTTTGCCCGCGGAGCTCTGCAACTAGCATTCTTTGTGGCGGGCACCCTTCCCTGCAGATAGCATGCGGATACGGGTGTTAGCTGTTAGCATATGCTGGCATGTTGCAAGGGTGGCTCATGATTCATCGTGTGGCTGCATGTCGCTTGAAGCCATCAGCGAGGTTTGGCTGCATTTCAGCAAGTTCTGGGGAGTTGCGTTCGGCGCATGCTTTTGCGAGGGCAATCGCACCAAGGATGCAAGAGGCCCAGGTTGCCAACGGCAGCGTGGTGGAGCCACTGCCCGATGATGCTTGCCTGCGTGGATGCGGAGCCCATTTTTCAGTGTCGTCTCGGAAGCTGCTCCTTCGTATTCGGTGCACGTGGTCAGTCGGTCTTGAACTGTCAAAGGCAGCATTCGTGTTGGATGATGGGGAGGACGTTGTGCTGAAGAAGGCCTGAAGTCTTGCTGCCTGCCGTTTCTTGGGTCGTGACTCTGTGGTTCCACTTGCCAGTCCTTTGAGGCGTCAGAGCTGGACATCATCGATCGACTTGCCTTGGCATGGGTCAGGCCTGTGAGTCTTTTTGGTTTCGCGAGAGTTGCTTGCAAGAAGCGTCTCGTGAGTCTCGTCACAGGTTCATGGGCAGCATGTCTGATGCAAAGCTCCTTGGACTGAAGTTGTCGCCTTGACTTGAAACCCCACAGGCTTGCGGACCCGGGATGGTCACAGCGTCACTGCCCTCCCAGTTCTCAGGTTTGTGTTTTGGTTTGCATTGCTTGGCGGTTACAGACAAGGCTCGCGCAAGCGGCGCTCGTTGCAGCAGCCCTGATACTGCCTCTGCTCGTGGCCTTGATCCCGCTTTGGTTGCTACTGTTGCTGGAGAGTTTCGGCATGATATCTGTGCACCTGCAGAGTTTGGTGGTGAATCTGAACCACATGCTCTCTTGAAGCATCCTGTGGGCCGAGGAAGAATGTTTTGATGGTCGAGTCTCGCGGTCCACCTCGACACCAGTCAGGCTTCGGAGATGTTCGAGGAGAAGTGACCTGTATCTGTTTATCTTCTGATGGTGCCTAGGAGCTGGGAGCAGGGACCTGACCTTCAGTGTCGCAGAGGAGGCGGGCACTGTGCCCTGCACACGTCACACAGCACGGGGACCGACCCCAAACCTGCGCCAGGGAGTATCTCCAATGCTCCTGATGTACACCTTCGTCGGCTGCTCGCTGAGTGCGGTGGGATGAGCTCTGAAATTGCGCTGAGCCAAGGTCGCTGACTTTGCGGTGCCGAACACCCGGCCCTTCAGGACGACCTGCGCTGTGGATCGAAAGCGATTGCTGGCCAATCTCCAATCTTTAGAGGAGCTTGCCCGAGCTGGTGCAAGAGATGCCCACAGCGCTTCCTCAGCTTCCTCAGGCACCAGCTCTTTCGTGAGTGCATGCAGAGACAGTGAAGATTTGCTGGATTGCGCTTAGCCGGGTTAGCGGAGGCCAGTGCAGCGGCATAAGTCGGCTCAGCTGATCGAGGAGGTGTTCGCACAAAGCCAGCCGGCCGTCCCCGGGTTGAGGAAGTGTACATCAGGATTTGGTTTGTCGGGATTCCGAGTACAACTCCACTTCCCACATTCTGTGTGTTGCTTCAGAAGTTGCAGATGGCTGACCGGCGTAGATGTGCGACTGGGCGAATTGACTCCACCAGTGGCCAACGTCGCTGAATTTGAGATCACATCACGTGCATTTGGACGGAAAAAGACAAAAAGCCATGAGCAGCACTCCAAGATTGAACTGGGGCCTGTGAAAGGCACCCAGCCCGAGCACTGGGCACTGTCCTAGGTCCGCGGCCCGAGGCTGTCAGTGGTGCCGTTTCTGCATGTGGTGTTTTAGACGATGCGGCATCGCAGCGGGTGCATGCTCAAACGTTTCCCCGCCTTGCCTGGCACTGCGTGCCGTTCACTACGCTGACGCTCGGTGGCCTATGTAGATCTTTGAACTGAAACGACGCGACAGAGATTGTTCTTGAGGATTATATGGCCTACAGATGGGACAGCCAGTGGGGCAAGGGTGGATACGACCAGTGGGGCAAGGGCAGCTATGACCGCTGGGGCAAGGGCAGCTACAGCCAGTGGGCTGGCATGCCGCCCTATATGGGAGGCACGAACTTCTGCTCGGACATTTTCTTTCATTCGTCAGTGCGTGCAGGCCACTGGGGCATGGGCTACGACATGGATCCGATGGCTATGGCTACGCCGAAAGGCCGCAGGGGTGACTCAGCAAAAGTGCGGAGCTGTTGTATCTTCGTTGAGTCACTGACAGGCTATTCCCAGCTCTCTAGAGGGAAGGCCAGCTTAACACGGATTGGATCGACCTGCCGTGATTGCCTGCAGACTTCGCAGGCTTGTGTTGAGTATGCCTCCGCCGAGGATGCGACGACCCGCGGCTGTTGTTTTCGGAGCAGCCCCCTAAACACAAAAACCCTAGAGCCCTAAACCTTTGGTTCTCAGAACCAGCAGAGAGCCGAGGAAGGCCATCACGTCGCTGAACGGCACGACGCTGGATGGGCGTCAGATCAAGGTTACGGAATGGGTTGGTCTGCCCCCAAGAGCCCTCAGGTGGTTTGTGCTTCAAAAACAGCCGCCTAAGACTTCAGCAGAGCCCCCGCAAGGTGGCCAGTCGCCGCTGTCCAAGCGAGGTGATGACAAGTAGCTCGAAAGCACTGCTGTCCAGTGAAGTGTGGATATGGTTCTCGGGTAAACATGATCGAAAAGGTCAGAGCAGAGCGCCAACAAATCGCGCACAGATCGACCCAAGCTGTAGGACCGGAACTCTCCGAACGCACCCTTGTTAGACCCGCGGAGATTTGCGGCTGAGGTGTAAAGTCTACGTCGCCAACTTGAACTGGAAGACCCAGGGGTGGAAGCTGAAAGAGCATGCTGCAACTGCCGGAACGGTGGTCTATGCTAGAGCGTCCCGGACGAACAAGCGGCTGTTCCGATGGCCCAACCTTTCGGCTGGCTTAGAGCCCAGAACGCATGGTTGCCCTCTTCTGCGAAAAGAAGAGCAAGATGAAAAGTCCTTGAGGGATGAACCAAGGCAGCGATGACATAAGAACATGGGGGAGCACGCTTGAAGTCTCTCCTTAATACTCCAAAGCTGTAGACAGAGGCTTCACCAGTCTGGACATGACGTTGGAATCACCGCAGCCGAGCCTAAAGCCTAATTCCCAGGTCATCATGGACAAGGATCCCAACGTGGACATGTTGAGCAAAGGCTATGGCAAGGGCTGGGGCAGCGGCTATTGGTGAGAACAGGCGATGGCAGCTGGCCTCCAAGATGCTCGACTATCTTGCTGCTTACTGAATATGTGTGGCTTTTTGGAGCAAGGAACTGAGGTCGGAGACCCCGAAGCCGGGTCTCCCTGGCAGTGTCGCCTTCTCGCTTGCGGAGCGGATAAACTGCTGAAGGGCGATGCCTTCAGCTTCTTGCAGATTGCAAGTCTCGGGTCATTCACATGGTGGACCCTCGCAGGTTGCGGGTTTGCATCTGGAGATGTCCACTCCTTGTCCTCTGGTGCTAGAGGCTGGATGCGAAGCAGGGGCACTGCTACCCACAGCGTCTCTGGCATGTTCTGCCCAGAATCGGGCAACTGCGTGGTTCACACTTGCGCCAAGTTTCCAGACATGCTCGACAGTGCCAAATGCAACTGTATGGGGCTCCCCGTGCCTCAAGTGAATTGAGATGTTGAAGACGTGCAGCTTGCTGTTTATGCCTTCCTTGTCAGTAATATTGCCTAAACCCTAAATCCTAAACTCCCGTGTTTCCGTGAAACGTAAGCAGATGGGGTCCGAGCGGCAAGGAAAGACCGTCCGGCTATCTGTTCCTAAAAAAGGGCCCAGCCATGCACCGGCAATCGAAGAGCAGCTTGATTGGTGTATATATATATATATAGATAGATACACATATACATATACATCTAGATACACACATATACAATCATATACATTGTGTATATATATATATATATAACATGTATACATGCATATTTGTCTATAGACATGTTTCTAGCGTACACGGTCTCTGTGCATTTTCATCACATTCCGACCAGCTCTGGGCTTCAAGCGTGAAGCCCGTGAAAGCTTGGAGCCATGGAACCCTTTAAACGACATCGCTCAGCCCCATGCCCAACTCCACATCTGCAATGGCACCCGAGTCGGAAGGAGCGGAAGGATGAGCTACAAGCAACAGCGCGGTACCGAATCGTAATCCTCACCCGGACACTCAGCCGTTTCCGATCACGTCTTCACATGCCAAACCCTAAACCCAAACCCTTGAAAGAAGTGTACCGGGCAAGCCCTCTGAAAGGAATCCTCTTCAAAAAGGAACCCCAAGAGAATCTCCCAGGGTGCGGAGCAATGGGTGCCTTCCCTGCGGTGGCTTTGGCCCCTGTGGCCCTGGGCTGGCGCTCCGAGTGCAACATCGAGGGCCTGGACGTGCAGGCGAGAAAAAGAACTTGCAGAAAAAAGGAACGGAAACAGATTAACCTTAATAGTACTCGTTTGTAGAAATAGTAATAGCAATAGCAGTAGTGCTAGTAATGGTATAGTGGCAGTAGTATGAGTATTGTAGATCGGGAAGGAGACGTTGAAGACGAGTGAAACACGGGAACAATCCTTGTGGTTACGGCGGTGGTGCGTGTGCGGTCGTGGTGACTGTGGGCGTAATCTACTTATAAGGCGAGCGAGAATTGAGAATGATCATAGCCTCTCTTCGTGCAGGTGTTCATTCATGGCATCGGGGAACGGTCAGACCATGCCGCTGTGCACTTTTTCAGAATTGTTTTGTGGCGTCAAGCCCGAAGGCCGGGTTGGACATTCGTTAATGCAAGAAGCCTTGAGCCCTGCCAGCAGCCTTGAGCTGTGTTTGGGTCGTTGCTCGTTGCAGTGGCCTTTTGCAAGCTGCTTCTGCTCTCCAAGGACGGCAGCGCTTGCCGTGTGGCGTGGTTGGACCACAAGGACCGGATCAGACCCATGATTTCGTGTAGACCCCGTCAGTATCGTACGTGCTAAGAAGGCTCGGAAAACCCGTGGGCCATCGACCTCTAGGCCCTAAGCTTCACCTGCCCATAGCAGAGAAGGGAGAGATATCCAAGCGGCATCAGGACCTGCAAAGTGCGGACGCTTCGGAGCTGCAAGGCAGGGTATATTATCTCAGGTTATGTTATTTATAATATACTATAATTTTCGATGATATACTGTAATATGCTATAATTTGCGGGAAGATGCTGGAACATGCTATCTTCATCCATTTTTTGCCGCTCGTCCTCGCTCCGCACACACGAGTCGCACGGGGCCACAAGCACTCAACCCCAAACCCTAAAACGTCCTCGGGGTTCGGGCTGATTTCTCGTGCAGAAGAGGCTGCAGCCAAGGAACCATAACAAAAAACGATGACAATAATTGCAGCAATACTAGTAATAATGATAACAATCAAACTAGTAACAAATGATAATCATCAGTTTAACAGATATGAATCACAATAATAATAGTGATAACAACCATACTAACCATCATAATAATAAGAGTAATAATCATAGTATTCAGAATCATCATCCAAATCATCATGATAATCATCATAATCTGGCGGCCCCTGGACGCTTGAAGTTTGGTCCCTGGTCCTCCGGTCCCCTGGACCTCTGGTCCCCTGATCCTTGTTTGTCTGCCTCCGTGTGGACGTGTGTGCATGGTGTGTCTCTGTAGATCTGTCTGTCTGTCTGTCTGTCTGTCTGTCTGTCTGTCTGTCTGTCTGTCTGTCTGTCTGTGTGTCTGTGTGTTTGCGAACAGCCTCAAACCTTGCTTTTTTCAACGAGGATGACGGGATTCAGTTTGACAGGACCATACACAAGGAACTTCCCAGCAGCCAGACGCAAAACACAACTCACAATTTGTGATTCCCCACTAGCTTGACGTAAGACAAAATCCTCCAAATTGGAATTCCCCAATGGCTTTAAGCAAATTGTTTTGCCAAGAGCAGTTTGCAGGGTTTTGCGTTGTGTGAAGCTATTGGGGAGTTCCAACTTGCAGGGTATTGTTTTGCCCCAAGCGATTGGGGGACTACAATTTGCAGGGCCCTGCTTTGCGTCAAACCATTGGGAAAATCCAATTTGAAGGGCTCTGTTTTGATCCAAGCTTTTGGGAGCTAGCAATTCCGAGGCTCCTCCCGCCGGTTCTGTCGACGGTTCCTGGTTGTTTGCACTTGCCTGGATGCCTGAAGTTCTCCTGTCAACTTCTGGAGTTACTGCAATTCGCGACAATAACCACATCAGAACATCCTCAGAAACTATGCTCGGCTACGACAAGGAGTTCAAAGATTCTTCCAGCGTCGCAACTTTAGGCTTCTCCAGGTGCCTAAATTATGATGATGATGCATACTACTGTTACTAATTAGTGTAAATGTTTCTGTTCTCACTATTCCTATCACGAGCTCTTCAACTTGCTTTGTTCATACTATTGCTGTTACTGTTACTCGTCTTGCTTTGGCTGTTGAGATTGCGAGTTGTATCATTATTAGCCTTGGTTCTACTTTCTTCGAAGATCTTTCTCCTGTTCCCGGTCTTCTTTAAAGAGCTCTCGCAAGCTGCGTGTTGTTCCTCGGTTTCCAGGACGGGTCGATTTCCTCTTCACGGACTCACGATCCTATGTGCCCTTTCGCGGGCGTCACGGCTCGGTCGCCCGGCTAGTCTTGGGCCGCTTCCGAGAACGAAGTTCAGGTTCGGATACACGGAGCAATTACATGTCTTCAACATTGTGTTTCGAGCTGTCAGGCTACTCATTTGTCGTCTCTTCTAGAATGCATCAAGGAGTAGGTTGCCTGGCAGCAGAGGTGCTCTACTTGGAGAACATCTCTGAGTTTCAAGTGCCACAAGATCTTGATGCCGTCATGCAAGAGAAGACGCAGCTTGTGTCTGTGCTTATGCCGCCCAGAGACAGGCCTTGAAGCCAGAAAAGTCGTCTCAGAACTGAGCCGAACACGTGCCTCAGGCTTTTCGGCAAAGTCTAGTGAGGTTTGTAGCTTCGTACACCTGGCATATCCTGGCATGCCATGCACAACATAAACAGGTTGCAAGAGGTTTTGTACGGCATTCCGCAGATTGATTGCGATTGCCTTGAGTTCTTCTCTCAATGGCTTATGGCTCATGTCCGGCACAGGTGGGATGAGCTTGCAGAGGAGATCTACCGCCAGGCTTGATGCAGAGATATTTTTCTTCTGAATTGTGCCTGCAGCCGCCTACTCGTAGTGTAAGAGATCGAAAACTCGCGTCTGGACCAGTCTGAGTTCAACAAGTCTGCCCTTTTTCCAACTGTAAATGTGTTACTTCTCCAGTCAGGTTCTCGGACATCGGGTGAGAAACTTTGACAAGGACAAAGACCCAAACCCCTCCATCCTCTTCAAGTCCAAACCTTACGGCCCCTAAAGCATAAACCCATATCAACCCCTAAACCCTAAACGCCTAATGCCCCAAAAATGCCCGTCGCAGGCCATGGCCACCATGCCAGAGCACGTCTTCGTGGAGGATGGGAGCCTCGAGACCGAGGCGACCTGAGGGCAGGTTTTGGGCTTTGAGGGTTTTGGGCTTTTGGGCTTTAAGGTTCTAAGTGTTTGAGGATTTAAAGCTTTAGTGCTTTTTTTTTTTGGGGTTTGGGACTTGAGGCTGTAGGGCTTTATCGACCCTAAACCCTAAACCCCAAACCCTCGAGGTTGCACAGAGTTTTGAGGCGGTCGTGGGCAGATCCCCTCTGGAGCCTGAGCCGGATGCATGGGGGCGGTCGTGGTGACTTTTCCTTCACAGTTTAGCCTGAGGTAGGAATCTGTAGCTGTTTCCTTGCCTGGAGGTCCAAAATCGGCTTCCTGGTTGATGTTGAGCTCGTGATGGTTTTGCTTGGGGTCATAGGATGCTGGTCGAACGTGCCGTTTCCTTCTGCTTTTTGTCGCAGACAGCCGCCTTCGAACGATATCGATTCTGTTGCTGGGCTGACAACTTGGCCTCCCCAAACGATCATGCAATCGAAGTCGGGGAAGCTGAGGTATCATTCCCGAAGAGGATTCCACGCGCCATGCTGTTTCCCCCCTCTTCGTCCGAACCCAAGCTGCAAGTGGAAACCCTGCGGAGGGATGAACCCCAACCCTAAACATCCCTAAGCCCCCCCCCGTTATACACCCCTAAACTCTAATCCGCATTGTAAAGCCTTACACCCAAAGCCCTAAACCCTATGAGCTGTGCGATCTTGGAGCTTTTCCTGCCTCGCCTCAGGTAGCCTTGCGCCCGACACTCAGCAAAGCCCATCCCCACCGGATCATATGGCCTGGATCTTCAAAAGAGGCTTTGGTAAAACATGTCTTTGATCTGGCTTTGTTTTGGACGGAATGTTCCATGCATATTGGAAAGCTCCTCTGCATGCTATGTAGTCCGATTGTCCGTTTCTCGTGTGACGGATCAGAAAAGCAGTTCGTCAGATGCAGAGCATCTTGCGCGCATCAGCACATTCCACGTGTATCTTGAGAAACCACACCCCAAGAGACAAGGTACCACACGATTGCGGTCTTCAACGGTTTCGTGGAAGTTGGGCTGCACGACCGCACAGCTTTTACATGGTGACAATCGGACAAACACGATCATGCATGTGCTGCAGCAGATCTCAATTCAAGCCAACTGCTCAGAAATGCTTTGTAATGGTCGGAAATCGCCGCAACCTTGATGAGACCCCAGCTTCAGCGCAAGTAGGCTTCTGCCCTCACCGAGCCCAGAGGCACATCAGCATGCTAGAGAATCGTTGAAAGGTTTTTCCCTCGAAGGAGCCCGTTGTTCCTATTTCGATCCTAAGGCTTCACACCCACTGGACCCACTCCCGTCACAGCCTTGGGGTGCTAGTCCTTCGTGCGAAGGGCGATGGTCTTCAATGCCATTGCGGACTACGACCCTGATCCATTCAATCTGATGGAAACGTTTCTTGGTTTCACGGGGCACTTCTGCAGTGTAGAGGGAAGCAGATCCACGGCCTAGTCAGGGTCCGAGACTTGAGCTCACTTGGGACTTCGTCCCCGCTTCCATGTCCCCCCTAAAGCTATCTAAAGCCTAAATCCTAAACCCGTCAGGATAGAAACCCTGAACCGGTCGCTTGGCTGCACAGAACCTTTCCAAAAGCTTCTCCTCGCAGATTGGGAGAGCGGGAATATGTGGATCTCGGAGAACCGTACCCCGGAATAAGAGTACTTCTCAGAATAATAATAGTGATGATAGCAACAATCGCAATAGTAGTAATGATAATCGTACTATTTTTTAATGATAATCATAATATTCTGGGCCCATGGAGACGGTGCGGTGATGGATAGGGGCACTCGTGATGCGGCTTTGCTTGAGGATATGCGCGGTTCTTGAGCTGTTTCAGGCACAACAAACAGCTGGGTGCGCTCTGGCACTATCAGCGCATTATCCAAGACCAGGCATGGTTTGAAAGGTTGGCAGGTGTGGGGACCTCTGGACGGGGAAGCTTGGGAGACAGTTACAGTTGTCCTTGCACCATCAGGCGTTCTCGCCCGTTCCTCTTCAAGTCCAGTTAGGCTGGAACTGTCCCCTGCTGTGCAGGTGCAGTACAGCAGCTCAGATGCATCCAGTGCCTGCAAATTGTGTGGCCTCATATCAATGTTGCAGGACTCGTATTGTTTGGTGCTTTTCTCTTACGCGAACGAGGATACAACAGGCCGTTCGAGGAGAAGCTCTACAGCCAGGCCTGCACAATGTGCAGGCCGGGGAGCTTTTCGGCTATTCTCATGTCCATCCCTGCTGACGGGCACCGCAGGCGTCGGTGCCTTTGCCGCTCAAGTCCTGTCCTGACAGGTTGCTGGCTGACCTTCCCAAGGCCCAGCCTCCGTTGCTGGACTTGTATGAGACATGTGCTGTCCATCTGTGCAGTGGCCCCCAACCCAAAGTATCGGTGTGCCAAGTTAAGCTAGCATTCCCCCTTATTCTTGCTGAACTTGACTCAGCTGTCGATTGCTCCCTGTGAAGGAAGGTTCAAGCTAGCCAGCAGTTCACAATACAGCAACATCTAGATTTTAAGACATACCCTCGTCAATGAAAGAGGATGGTTCAGGCGAAGGTTCCGAAAAGCACCGGCTGGACTTTGATAGGTGCGGAGCATAACATCAAGTTTATTTTTTGATTTGAGAAGTATTGTGTCCGACATGGCTGCCCTGGAGAGTGGAACACTTAGACTCAATGTTAAGGCTTGTCTTCGTTGGCATCTACTCCGCCCGCAAGAACTTCGAAAAGCGGCAAGCTGTCAGGGAGACACAGGGATTGATGGGTGCTTTTTGCTCTTGTCTAGGGTTTAGTATTCTCCTTTTTGCAGAGCCTGAAGCCCAGGAACCACAAGACATTCGCTTGAATCCTCGCAGCACCGACATGGCACCCGAGAAACGCAAGCACCACGCATCATGAGCATCAGCTGCCGTGGCATTGGCGCGACTCGCACATAGAACCGCGGCACTACATCACAGCTGTGAGCATCATGAGCATCAGCTGAGTAGCTTTGCTGCGACTCACATCGTATACGAGAAATGTAAGCATCATGAGCATTAGCTGCCGTGGCATTGGCGCGACTCGCACACAGAAACCACGGCACTGCATCACAGCTGCTTCAAACACGTGAGCATCATGAGCATCAGCTGCAGCAGCTTTGCCGCGACTCACGTGCTGAAGCCGCGACACACACACACACACATCGTATGCGAGAAATGTAAGCATCATGAGCTTTACTTTAGCGGCCGTGGCATTGGCGCGACTCGCACGCAGAAGCCGTGGCACTGCATCACAGCTGCTTCAAACACGTGAGCATCACGAGCATCAGCTGCAGTAGCTTTGCCGCGACTGACGTGCTGAAGCCGCGACACACACACACACATCGTATACGAGAAATGTACGCATCATGAGCATTATCTACCGTGGCGTTGGCGCGACTCGCACACAGAAACCGCGGCACTGCATCACAGCTGCTTGAAACATGTTTATGAGCATCAGCTGCAGTAGCTTTGCCGGGACTTGCGTGCGGAAACTGCAGCACCAACATCGCATTCGAGAAATGTAAGCATCATGAGCGTCAGCTGCCGTGGCATTGGCGCGACTCGCACGCAGAATCCGCGGCACTGCATCACAGCTGCTTCAAACACGTGAGCATCATGAGAAGCAGCTGCAGTAGCATGCCGTAGCTTGACCTCGGATTACGCAGAAACCCGCGAAACCAACATCGTTTTGGAGAATGTAAGCATCATGAACATCAGCTGGCGCGACTGGCATACAGAAACCGCGGCACTGCATCACAGCTGCTTGAAGCACATGAGCATCATGAGCATCAGGTGCAGTAGCTTTGCCGGGACTTGCGTGCGGACACTGCGACACCCACGACACCAGCATCCCGTTCGAGAAAAGTAAGCATCATGAGAATCAGCTGCTGTGGTGTTGGCGCGATCTGCGTGTGGAAACTGAGGCATTGACAACATGTTTGAGAAATGCGAGCATCATGAATATCAGCTGGTGTGGCCTTTGTGCGACTTGCGCAAAAAAATCGTGGCGGTAGTAGCATCGCAGCATCGCAGCTGCTCCAGAAACGCGAGCATCATGAGCATCTGCTGCCGTCGCCTGGGCACGACTTGCATATCTCATAAGAAAT